GGTGTTGGGAGTAAGCGGAACCGTTTGTGACCGTGGTGTTGGGAGTAAGCGGAACCGTTTGTGACCGTGGTGTTGGGAGTAAGCGGAACCGTTTGTGACCGTGGTGTTGGGAGTAAAGCGGAACCGTTTGTGACCGTGGTGTTGGGAGTAAACGGAACCGTTTGTTTAGAATACATGAGATGGTTTTAACTTTAATCAATAGGTGACAATAACTAAAAATAATTATAATTCTTTAGTACTGGAGTGTTTAGTTTCCAAGTCTGTATAAATTCTTTTATCATCATTTGTTTTGAGCTTCTGTGTATTTTTTATATAGTTTTCATCAGTAGAAGCTTTCTCCATAAGAAAGGTTTAACTGTAGGTGACTTTCTCTTCAATATGGGCAGGGTGGCAGCTTTGGTGAGAAGATATTGTGGTAAGTTAGTCGGTTTTTCTGACTTACAGAAGAAAAAAAAAATATGAAGTTCCTCTAGATACGAGAATAATCAGTTTTATGGAAGGAGTTACAAATGAAAAAAGTTTCGAAGTCAGTCAGCACTAACTGTCCAAATAAATAAAATGCCATCAACATAGTTTTTTCCAGGCATAAGGCTTCAAAGTGCTTTTCTGTAAGAGCTGGATTTTTTATATCATCCATAAAGACTTGAGCCATCTTGGTTTCCATAGCAATAGAGTTAGTCTGAATGTAGTATTTATTGTTTTGAGATACAGCTGGATTGGATAAAAATTAGAGCAGCTTTCAGAATTTCTAGTCCATCACTGTATTGAATATTTCGACCCACATAACATGGGAGATAATGGTTGACCTTCATTGATTTCTTTAAAGATGTTTATGTGTTGAGTTTTGAATGTATGAAGGAAAAGTAGTGTGGACATTTATCATGTAGAAGCCAACATAAGTAGAGAACTTTATCATGGCCATATTTGTTTGAATAATGAGACTGACACCAGCTTCTCCTAGTGGTGAAATACAGATATTATTAATGTTGCAAAAGAGTATGTAAATTTGTGGTCACATGAAATGTAACTTCATGATCTAACTACTGAATAAAAACCCTATCATTAGTTCCAATACGTTAGTTCACAAGAGATAGCTGACAGGCATTATTGCTGTTAATGATTTTGTAGTCGTGTTATTGTTATTTTGGAATTTGTTTTTTTCATTTTGTGATCCTTTTTCCTAGTCCCTTTATTTATCAAAATATTAACGCTGTTACTTAGAGTATATTATTCTTTGACGTTACTAGCAAGATCTGGCCAGACTTATTAAGTTTGTTTAAATGGTGATATAAATTTTGTATTCCAACTGTTCGAAAGTTTTGATTTTGGACTTCCTGTGGGTGTTATAGTTTAATAACTTCGCTTTGTGTAGCCGTTTATTTGTGGTTTAGTCTGGTCACTTATGTTTTTAGTGCATCATTTTGAAGGAAATGTTTTTATTTGCTAATAATGTTGTCTTTAGATTTTAAGTTGCTCTAAGGGTAGTTGTTGTTATTTTTTGACTAAGGTCATTGCGAGAGTGTTTGGGTGATTTCATTGCTTTGATTATGTCACGTGGAAATCTATTTTCTTAGTAGGGATCTGATATTTTATTCCCTACAGGAACAATATCAAATTCTGAGAATTATTTTACTGTAAATTTCTCCTCATCAGGAAGTCGTCTGTTTGAAATTATGCATTAATAGCATGGTTATATCAGCAAGTCTACCAAATTAATAGGGTTCTTTTCTTCTAATAATTGACATTTAGGTTTTTGTTGCTCATTTCTTGGAAGATAATGATGTAATAGATAGAGGTAGGTTAGTTGATTTCCGATCACATCTTTATAAAAATAAGTAAGATTATGAACAACTACAGTTTAAGTTTATTTATTTTTAATTTAACGAGTTCTTTTCGGTATCCCTTGCAGGTAAACAAGAAAGTGTAAAATTATCCAAGAAGAAAGCACCTGGAGGTGCAGAAGACCAAAATATAACGTGTCATCTTACAGTCACTCGTCATGTTATTTAGAATATAAACTATTAATTTATTTTTAAAATTGACTAAACATGTTTATGGTAATAATTAGTGATTAAGAAATCTATATTTGTTTGAAAAATTAACTCCATTCTCAGCTGTAAATATTGTACTCCTTTTGTACGCGTGTGTCACCGTAATCTCCTTCTCACACATAGTTTTTACATTTTATTTTTCCATTACCAATACTAAGTGATTTAAAAGATTCGAGCATGTTCTCTGGTATATAACAAAAAATATTGTTCACGTGTATAGAGTTAAAAAATATTTAAAACATTTTGACCATAATATCTGTGATTACACTAATCAGTTCAATTACTGTATCATTGTTAAAGAAAACTGTGTAAATTCACTTAGGTCAACTAAAATAGCTTAAGTATCACTTTGTGTTTTGTAGTAGTGATATTAATGTTTACAATATCGGTAATAAAGTACCTCAATAATGGTAAAAGTAGTAAACTTATCACTGTATTAGGTGAATAATTATCAGATTCTGTTTGTTCTGGGCAGTACTATTTGTTAACAACCAACGGCATCATAAGGCCTTATTTGGGGGTGGGTTGTTGAGGAAACTACACATAGGATAAAAATTCTCTTTTATACCTACTTGGTTCGTCTTACAAACATATTTATGACCTAAGACTAAACAGCAAATTATTGCATATTAATACTTAACATATCAAAATAAGTTGTTGTTTTTTACCGTAAAGCCCTGCAAGTCCCTGTATGCCATTCATTTTAAAAGATAACTTTTTTTTTCTCCTAAGAACGTTATG